TTCATTTTTGGTGAACTATTCCTTTAAAGCATCATTTTATCAGCCAACCCAATCCAGAAAAGCGTACTGTGCATTTGTTTGCAGGAATGAACTCTATATTTGTCTACGTTGGAAACTCTCTGCTGGGATTTTACTTTCCTTTCAGCTGGGAGATGCGTTTTCAGGACAGTCACTGGGAACAGCTTTTCCAGAATATATGGGCTACCGCACTTTGGGTCTTCATTGCCTACCTGCTCTACCGCAAAAAATTCTTTCTCAAAATCTGATGCTGCTGTGCTGGTATTTTTGTCTCATAAACGTCCTTGTATTTCTCTTTAATTGAAGTTACAGGCTAAAATAAAGTTTTAATTATTAAATAAGTGCAACAGTGTGTTTAGGATCCAAAATCATTGATATTTTTGTTTTTGTGAGTGAGGAATGTCTCTTTTCATGCCTGTAAAACTGAATTTGGTGTATTCCTATGTTCAATTAGTTAATAGGCATAAGAACCGAGACCAGAGGATCAGATTTACTGTCTTCCATGGACACCTGAAGTGTTTTATTTGATGTCAGTTGTGTTAAGACCTGAATGTAGTGATTAAATCAAATTCGCTGAAGTGGTACTTAACAAATTAGAACAAGCGATTCCACCACTTGAGGGGTAGCCATTATATATCGGTTGCCATGGCCACCCCCCCCCTCGGGGCTGTGAGACAGAGAGTGGGTACCATCTGCTCTTCAACTGACAGCCCTTTAATAGGGGTCAAGCTGGACGGCTCGCTGAGGAGTGTTTCTGGAGCCAGCACTTTTCATGCTCACACTAATGCAAAATCAGGGAAATTACACCAGCAGATCTCATGCACATACGGAAATTACTGCGTGACACAAAAAACCCTGATGTTTTCTGTCAAGTCATATTCATGAGTTCGAATAAAGTCACAAGCATGACCTCTGGAAGCTCTGTGGCAGTGGTTCTCGGCTGGCTTTGAATTGAGATATTAATTTGAGTGGAAAACCAAGATTTGTTAATAGGAATGTGTGGAAAATTCCCAAAAGAACCTGATGTCTGATGACCCTAAAATTTAAATTCTGTCATCTTGTACTCGTCCTCATGCCCTTCCGAACACAAACGTCCCAGACAAATGGCGTCCTGTTCTCAAGATGCTATTTTTTGTTATCCTTATTATGATTGTTCAGTCCCCATCTTTGCTAAGAATACACTCCTGTTACTAAGCAGATGATATTTAAATATTATATTTTATTGTAAGTGCAGATATTTCCCAAATTTAGGTTAGTTCTCTTAAACAGTGTATTATACACTCCTAAAAATAATATTGTTAACCCTATCTATCGATATATGTATGTATTTTTTTTATCAAAAATTTTTGTTAGATTTTATCCTTTATTTTGAACTCTGTTATGATTTATTTTATTACATCAATAATTTGTCTGCACAAACCATGTTTATTCATTTTGGAAGAGACAACGTATTTAATAGAGTGAGGTTTCTTTTACCTTGTTCATGGATTTCAAATATGAGGGCATCTGTGTAATTTTGAGAAGTGTCAAATTATAGATACATTTGCACCAGAATACTGTAGAGTTTGATTCGGTTGAAGTCAACAACACAATATATGAGTGTTTGCTGCTCCTTTTTAAAAGTGTGATAAGCTTATTTATTTTGCATTCTTAAGTATGCATAGCAAATATGGTTAGTTGCATTTTATGATTTTCTTTTAGTTTCAAGCAGAATTGCGACCCTTTTTTTGGGTCATGATCCACCTGTTCAGAACCACTGACCAACTAAGCCATTGTGTGACTCCAGTAATATAATAGCAGAGGTTATAAGTGTCCAAGAGTATCACTAAATCTGGCTCTAAGTGGTCAGAAGATGCGAATCTGTCAGGATGCAAAGATTTAATCTCAGAGTTCTCAGAAATGCTCTGCACTGACTTCTCACTTACAAACGACTTGTGAACAAACAGGCTGAATTATGTTATCATCACAGCAGTAGTGTTTAATTTCTGTTTGGAAGCATAAAAACAAATATAATGTATGTACAGCTTTTGTATTATCTTCAATAGTGCACCAGATCTCTGGATTTGTAGGATATTTATGATCTACCGAAGCGGCTGAAACATGTGAACCTGTTCACTCTGCATGGAATTCAATTGAACCCTTTCACTCTGTTAGTTCATGAGAAAGCTTTTCATTTTGAGGATCATATTACCCATTTAAACTAAGTAGAGCCTATAAGTAAAGCAAACTGGTCACCTGATTTTGGGAATGGACTAATGACTAGTGTTGCGCTACTGCATTTCCAAGTGGGAATATGGACTTTGTTCAAGAGCTGTAGCTTTATCTACTACAGTAAGCACTTTTTGAATTAATATTTTACTAATAAAGTTCTTATCATCATTATTATTTAATGTAAGGTATATAGATGCAAAGCTCTATTAGCAAAATACCACTGAGAATAGCTCCACCATGTTTGATGCAAGCAAATCTGTTTGACAGAATCTGACAGTAAAAATTGTGATCTTATCTACTATAAGACAAGCTTTCATCTGAAAATGATCTTGTCAAGCAACCACATTCAAAAGGAACTGATGCAGTGGTGAATGTCATGAATCTGCCTATGCATGGCCTTATCTATATTGATTTACATTGACCATATGTCTGAAAATACCACTGTGTGTCTGGTTTAGAGTAACCTGAGCTTTTTTTAATCTGCATCATGTATATGGTGATGAGCCTATGCTGCTATGTAAACAAAACCATCCTGTGGCTAATATGCAGAGTAAGTGAAATACGGTATTTATACGGCATTACAAATATCTTGTAATGAACAAAAAGGTGGAGCTTGAAACAACGCCTTTGCACTCATTGTATTTTCATGCATGCCATGGTTATAGTTGTTGTGTATTGTTCACATTTGACCACCATCATTTATGTGCATTTAAAATTCATAAACATTATGAGGGCAGAGTTACTGTGACCCACTAACAAGATGTTATATCTTTATTTAAAAACAAAAAACAAAAAAAATGTATTAATATAATTACGCAATTCCAATTCTGTACTGTCATTGAAATCATTTAACTTGGACAATTATAAAATAATTATTGTTTATATAAAATATTATAATAATCATCATTTATATAGAAAATTATTAATAAATAATATTTGAATAATGTTTATTATACAGTATATCATTTTTTTATATAAATAAATCTATAAATCTTGAAACACAGTATAAGTGAAGCCTTTGAATTAAGTTTTTGATTCCTGGAAAATACGGATTTAATTCAAGTAATAAATATATCATTACACTTAATTAATTATGGAATATATTTATTACTTGAATTAAATCCATATTTTCCAGGAAAAATGTATATTCCATACTGTCTGGCGCTCTGCTTTTAGAAAAAAAAATTATATTTCCCCAATACTCCTGCACTCCCGATGTTGAGGGTTTTATGAATGGAAAATACCTCAATAACTCTTTTGGATCTTAAGCAACAGAGAGTTTTTTTCGTTACCAAAACATCTTTGCCTGGCCTCTTTCTCTTATGTATGCTTAATTTGAGGTCTCCACTATAGTTTGATTTGGCATCCATCAGCGCAGACGTTGATTGGAGTGATTGCCCCGTGATGCACTGGTGGGTTGCCCTAGAGGCAGAGTAATGCATCATGCTTACCCCTCTTCACAGAGAACTAAGCAGTCATCTGGTCCAAGAGCAGCCCAACACAGACAGAGACTGGCTCACACACTGCCAAAACGGGGCCGACACCATCTTGAACTCACAACAACTCTCTTAAACCTTGGCCTTTACTGACAGTATTGAATTCTCTACAGAACTGTTGTTTTGGATGTTTCGGAGGATGTGAGGAACAATAGGCTTGGGTGTGGTTTGTCCTTAAAACTGACTCTGTTTGTTGATCATTGTGCCTGTGCACCTGATTCTTATTAAACACTGTTTTGGGGAGCAAATAAAATGTTCCTGCAATAGTTTATTTACTTTCATTTATTTATTTTATTGTGAATTACTTTGACAAATCTTATTTTGCTCATACGTTTACCCTTCACCTCTGTTTGACATACAACTGGACCTGTTCATTTCGAAGTGCATACATGTATTACACAGTTCAGGTTTTAATTTTTTTAAGCTAATATACAAAGGAAACTGGGGCTAGATATCACACGTTTTACTCTTGTGAACATTTTTCAATATTTAAAATCAATTACTGTATCGACACACCCTAAAATCTTGGCTACAAAAAAAAAGCTAATTTCCACTCTTACTGACAAAGAAAAAATATAAGAAAAAACACGAGATCTACAAAGCAGTTCAAACTAGTACTTCAAACTAACATTTATGAAAATACTATTGTTTTAAAATCATGTTTTTTTTTTTTTGATGAAGTTATTTACTTTTTTGCACTTTTTGAACTGTTTGAAACCAGCACAGATGATTATTACTGTAAAAATGAATAAATAAATAATAAAAGCATTCAAGTAACTGGACAATTTTTGTCAGGCCTACTGAAATGATTACCCCTTTGGCAATTTCCCCGTGTGATAACTAGCCCCGGTGTTCTCTACAACGCAGATATACGTAAATGTATCTGTAGGCTACCCTTTAATTTCATACTCAGTCACTTGAGCATGTTTAAACGGACAGAGCCTGGAAAATATGAGTATCTTTTATAAACATGAGTATGTTTATAAAAACTATCAATAATTAATAATATAATGCATAACATAGTTGAACACCATAAAGTCACATGCTTGTCCAGTTACCTGTTCCACCTTACGCACATATTATTTGCATGTCCCCAAAATGTAGTTTTATTTCATTAGGAACTCTTTGGCTCATTGGACAGCTGCTGAAGTGATTCAGGACGGAAACACACATCTGAGGAAATTGGCTGGATGTGATGTGAACCTCCCCCTGACGCGCGGGCTCTCTCTCTCTCTCTCTGTGTGTGTGTGTGTGTGTGTGTGTGTGTGTGTGAAAGAGAGAGTGCGCGCGCGCTGACGGTCCAGCAGCTCGCGCTGCAGTCACCCGTCAATGGGACACTCACGTTAAGGACTTTTGTGGCTCCTTCGCGCGAATCGTTAACACTGTAAAGTTCTATTCGTTAGGAATCAAAACACTTTTGCCTGTTCATTGTGAAATTACACTTATGATTGACAAGTATGGGAACTACGCGTGGAATCGTTTGGGGAGACATCGCGGTGCTCCTGCTTCTCCTATCTAAAGGTAAGGATTTACTCCCTAACAGTCTGATGTCACCTCGCGCTAAGTGTACGCTATTTAGCCCTCTTTGTTTGGGGTAAATAACTGTGTTGTGAGCTAGAATGGTTGCATTACTATTCAGAGGCAGTACATGAGCATTACACTACACGTATTTTAACTTAAATAGAATTGTCGCCTCTAATGTGCATCCTTCAATGACAACACAAGGGCTGTGTCTCAAAACCTAGATAGCTGCCTACCTAGACTGCGTTTTGAGCAAAGTTTTACGTTGCTCAAAGATATTTTTATTCCCTTGTTCTTTAGAAAGCATCCTACAACCCAGATCGTAAGAACCTGTAATGTGGCATCATAAACTTTTTTAAATAACAAAAGAACCCTAGATAGTGTACATTTTTAGTTGGGTTAAGAGGGTTGTTTGCAGAACCTAAGATCCTGAAAAAACAACCTGTTTTAAGGGTGTAGGTAGGTTGCTTACTAGGTTTTGAAACAAAACCCTGCTCCACGCATTGGTATCATAACATAATGTAGCATAACTGCTCTTTTTCCATTGGATCATTTTATATATCATTAAATATATATTATGAGGCCTCTTAATTTATATGAACAGATCTATACATTTTGAAACACAGTAAGCTATGCTGAACCTTTGGAAATTGTGTTCTCATGTTCAGGTTTTCTCAAGGAAGCTTTTGATTCATGGAAAACATTTACTTTGGTTTATTCGTTGAAAAATCTATTATTATTCTGTTTAATGGTTGAAAAGTGTATTATTATTATTATTAAGTGTATTATATAAAAACAGCAAAGATATCAGTCAGTTTTGCTTTCTGGAAATTCTGAATTTAATTCAAGTAATGAAGAGCAAAGTACTGTATTTCACACTTTTAATGACATTTTATGGTAAATCCGAAGTTTTGTGAAATACATTTTATTTGTCATTTTACGTATACGTTTAGTTTGATTATGCACCCTATTTTCTGTGTAACTATATGCTGGCTCCGAACAACAGACAAAACATCTGTATATCCAGGGGGTCTGCATCTGCCCCCATTCACAGGCCACTGCTACTGGAGAGATTTACCAGACAGTTTTGTAGAGGCAATCTGGTGCTGAAGCCAAAATATGTCCAACCCTAATGTGCCACATGGTTCATGCAAGCAATACGCATGTCTCTATACGTCATTATATTGTAATCCCATGTAAAATCCCTCTGCCCAACTGTACTAACACACCTCTCTCAAAATAACTGGAGTTAACTAGAGTCGAACTTGTTCCTGAATAGATCTTAAATCTCAGTGTGTGGCCAGTTGCATTAAAAAGCAATGGTCACATCGCAACAGCTTGAATACAGACAAGTGGAACATAGCAGAGGTTTCACAGCTATTCTGGTCATTCGGAAGACATTTGGCAGTGTGTGAATGCAAAAGTGTTGCATTTGTCTTCGCTCAATAGTGGTTCTTGAATGGTGTTGATGGTGGTGAGGTTATTTAATGATGACTGAATGAACATTACTTAGACTTACTAAGAGTCAAAAGTGACAAAACAACCATATATGCATTCTGATGTTAACGGAATCTCTCAGTCTAAATTATGACGGGAAATTGCATTTTAATGGTCTTGTTGACTCATGAAGTATTCATCTGTCCAATAAACTACCAGGAATTGTACAATCGAAGCAAAATTCCCTGAAATACAAGTAAAATCAGCAATGATATGGTCTGTTGGAAGCAGTTTATTCTTTTTTTTTCAAATGAGCCGTGTGCATGTTGTCATGCAAGTTTTTGTGTGGCATGATTATATTGACGGGGAATTGTGATGCTTATTAAATCATTTTAGTAAAGTAATAAAGTAAACTAACTATATAAAACTTGTTAGTATACAGAAAAAACAGCCATGTTTTTGTTGTAATATGATATTCTCATGAATATTTTTATTTATTAATAGGCATTACTTGTCATTTTCAGAAAGGTTTGACTTTATATATATTGATGTTTGCATGTACGAGTCTGTTTATTTATTTAAATATATAATTTTTTCCATCCAATTTTCTCTGGGGGCAGTGATGTTGTGGCTGTCGTATTTTTCAGTGTGAGTTTACATTTTAATTGCTCATTCTCAACACAAACTTTTTGAATTTACCTTAAATAAACATTTAAATGAATTTTGCCTTGATAATCACCAGGTGGTAAGGAACAATATGATTAGATTTCATCCTACTGAACAGCTCCTGTTTTAACCTTTATTAGAGATGATGCGGAAGCACCTTGATTCTTTGCCGTGAGGAAAAACAAAAGCCTGGTGCCGAGAGGTGGTCAGAGGGCAGGTGTGCAGCAGGTGTGCTTAGCTCTGGGCAAACACAATGTGTTTGTCTTCTGAAAGGAAAATACTGCCAGTAAAATAATAGAGTACACAGCTCTGATAACAGATGAGGCTTAAAACCCCTCATTAAAGACACAGGATGGTTGGCAGCGCCTCTCACAAAATGGATCTCATCTATTTTATGACAAGCCATCCCATGAAAATAGATGATGACAAAAGCAATGGATTTTGTCCATGCTGGGGATACATGTAATCATGTATCTCTGTCTGGTGTCATCAAACTTTGATGGTTTGATGTTTAAAGGACATAGAACCTTTTGCGCAATGGAAAGGTTCCATGGATACTAAAGGTTCTTAATGGAGCTATGCATTTGAATAAAGAACCTTTATTGAAAAACAGGAACTCTGCCAGTTATCAAAAACATGGTAGCAAAAAAATCAATTAATCGTTTTTTTGCCAAAATCATCTGTGCATACTGTTTGTTTTCAGCAGTGAATGTTGCATGTGTAAATACGTTTAAATTAATGAACGACTAATAAGGTGATGAGCTTCTTTAATGAAGGAGAGTATGTGCAATTGATAATCAAATATATAATTTGACCTTAAAGTCACACAGCTGTCTATAGCTTTCCATCACACTAGTTGTTTGCATAAAATAAGTCCAGACCCCATGCCATGTATTGTGTGCGAGGCATTGATTTGTGGATACACAGCTTTGACCCTTTTACTTTATCTGTTGGAGTGCCATGGCTTCTGACCTCTAAAACCCTCACCCAAGAAGTATTTCCTCATGATCAGGCCACAGGAGAACGGCCATCCGATGGGAAGTAACATTAGGGAATCAAGTTCAGACCACCTCACAATCCTTCCTGCATCAGCACAATAATTTTCATCAACTGTCATTGCAGACCGATAAATCTCATTTGATACATTACAATGTTTTATTTTGGACTTTATTGCATTAAATGATTTAGTTTAGTTTGTGTCTTGAGCAGTGTATATAAATCCTGCCCATTTCCCCTTCGTCATCTCTACTTTTAGCATGATTGGAAAAACAGATTTGATGTTGGTACTTACCGGTACTTTTCTTATTCTTTCTGTAGATACCCTAAAGAAAAGTAGAAAATCTAGGCCAAATCTTTCATTTTATTTAAATCTTTAATGAAGCTCAATGACCTAATATTGTAAAATGTTAGCAAAATTTTAGACTGTACTTTTAAAGGCATATTATTTAAGGTGGTAAATGCATTCATTAAACAGTTTAATATAAAGCAAAAGTAAGATGTATTGTGTTATTGTACACACAGAATTATACTGATACATTGAAAAATATGTTTTTAAAAATCTAAATTAAGTGAAAAATATTTAGTTTTTTTAACAATGATTTATCTCTGAATCATTCTAAATGCATTAGAATACACCATCCAAAGTAAACTGAAGGGTTAGATCAGGTAGAAATAGGCTAGTGCCTTAAGTGTGGTTTCTGTGCCATTTCTTGATTCAGTGTCATAATAAAGGCTGTTGTCCTCATGATAATCCATTGTACATGGACATTAATGAATCTACCAGAAACCACATTTGGACTAATTGTCCAGCTTTTGTACCTATTGGAGTCATAGCCCAGATCCTTCAGTTAGTTATGGGTCATATTTCCACCCCGTGCATCAGTGGAATCTAATTTGCTTTGGTGAAAGGACAAGAAGACATTGATTGAAATTGTGTCCCAAGGGCGTTTGGGGCTCTTGATTTCTACATGGGTCTTTACGTGTTATTTTCTAGTGGTCATCGATGCATGGTGTGTTTGACTGATCATTTACAACAGTGAGCAACCAACACAACGGCTTAGTTAGGACTTAACTGTCCTCGTTTGGTCTTTGGTGGTGTGTTTGGAGGGGGAAGGGCGCTGAATTGTGAATGGCTTGTCATTTTAAGATTCATTCATTACCTGGAAATGAGTCAGTGGAGTCTCAACTACACAGACTTTTAAAAATGCAGATACAACCTTGGCATTAATACTGGAATCCCTTTCACTGAAACATTGGAAATTTGCTTATTTATACCTGATCGAATCTTTAAATTCAGTTTGGTTGGTGTAATCAAATATATTTAGCTTGTTGAATAAACTTGAATAAAATCAATTAATTTAAATTTTTTTCAGTACATGGTTGGTTTTACATTACACTTTTAAAATGCAAGACTTAGCATTTAGGAAATGCCAGCTCTTGATGACCTAACAGCTCAAACTCAATAGTCCATGTAAATTCACCCACTGGCCCATTTCAACCATGCACTGTGAATTTGAAGACTCAGGTAAAAGTCATAAAAATTGTTAGTATGTGTTTGAAGCAGTGGAGGGGAACACTGAGGAACATAATGAGTAATGAATCACACTGGAGGTTATTTCAAAATATTGTCCAAAAAACGAAAGAGGAACAGAAAAAAGGCCTTCAGGTTTTGTTTCGGTGTTTAGTCTAATCTTGATTGTTGTTTTGTCTCTGTCTCAGGCTTATATTATAACATTAAGTGAATAATGTTGGTAATTGCTTATCGTAATGATACCATCCAAGAGAACATGTTGTTCAAAGGTCCCTCATTTATGAGCTCTAATGTCCCATCCAATCCCAAAAGAGATTATAAAGTAAATACAAACATGCTGCCTTTTCCCACAGGAGATGTGAAATTA